TTCTTCCTCTGCTACTTTTACTAGTTGACGGCTTTCTACTAAGCATGAGTTGCCGTCCTTACGGATGTAATTTAGCTCTGATGGAAATAAATGTTTTGACTCTATGTTTGTTTGTTGTTGTTTTTTTTTAAATAGTTCGCCAGCGTACTTTCGTTGACGCGTTTCCCCCCCATAAAAGATTGTCGTTGTCTGCCTCGGCCTCAACCTCGGCTGCTCATAACTGGAGCCAGAGGCCGAGGCCGTGGACACAAAGATGACAGCCGCTTTGGAGCTGCGCTCATTACTCCTATTAGGTGTCGAGGAGCGGCCCTGTTCAGCGTAGCGTCCCTGTTGTGGGCTTCCGTGTTCATGAGATCTTGGTTCCGCTGCGCTCTGGTGCGCCGCGCCGCAACGCGCCGCTTGCGAGCCGCGCCGCTCAGGCCTCCACGTCCCCGGGGCCGGGGGGAGGCTGCAGCATGGACCGGGTCGCCGACGTCAGCTTTTGCGAGACGAGGTGCGCGATGTGGCTGCTCCGGGACCAGACGAACTCGCGCGTCCGGTCGTGGTCGTCCGCGCTCTCGACGCGCACCTGCGGGCAAGCACCAAGTGTGACTCACGACATCTCCGCGTCATCCCCGGTCAACAACAGCCTCCGCAAAATGGGGCGCATTGGTGCAGGGTGTGCTCGTGGGCTTTTGGACGCACCAGGTTGCGTACCTGGTGGCTGATTCGGCTCGTCCACACTACTTGCGCATAGCTAAACTGCACCGTCTGCACGAGTGCGGTCGGGTTGTCTAATCGCTGGGGCCGGTAAAGGCGCCATCAGACACGACAGGCTCCCGAGCGGTGCGTGCGGTACCGGTACAGTCCAAGCACCAATGTGAACGGTGCGAATCAGCCAGCGGGCGCGAAATATGTTGCTCCACTAGTGAAATAATACAGACCCTTGCCGCTACTACGGTGCTGCCATTACCAAAGTTGGTGGGGTATGGGTGCGTCAAGAATATTTGTGCGACTGTATGGCTAAGCGAACTGCTCAACCCTCTTAATAGTTTGCGCATTCGATTATTGAACATTCACATTGCATCGATTGTCGTTGAAGAGCGAAGCAAAAGAGAACGTGGGTGGAATAGCAAGCGTGTTATTTTACAGCCCGTGTTACACACACACACAAAAACAACAACTTGATTTTAATACACAACCACAATTATGTAAAAATGTCAGAAGCCCGAACCGAACCGTGAGCAAAATACCTCAGTTCTACGTGAGTGATGACATGTGGGGAGTCAGCTGCGCAAAACCTTAAGTTAATGACAAGTTACTATTTGTGATACTGGGCTGGGTTGATGATGATGACGATGTGGGTGTTAACTACTTTTGGGTTATTGACGCCGTGCGATGAACAAATAAGTACTACTGTTAGTGCCAGACCCAGCGCGAAATGGGATATCGAAACGATATCGGAAAGATGCCGAAAATGCGAAATCGACGACGTAGCGACATCGTTTTGACTGCTATTTCTCACTGGGGAGGAGCCTACTGTACATACATACTGGGCCGACAGACTGGCTAGCTCCCAGCTCACATACCTTACTGCTGTTTCCCGCCCCCGCCCCAAGACTGGTTTGCAACGTGGTTTGCATGCGGACCTGCACACACAGACCGCATTAGGGATGGGCTGGGCTCCACAGCTGGCTCAGGTGGACAACAACAACAACAAAATAATTTCTGTGCCCAAACTTTCTTTCCTGGATTTTTTTTTGGTGGTGTCATTTTTGAAGACATAGTTGAAGGCGTGGGGGGTCAAGGCATGGCGAGAAACACGCTGTCACACTCGGTGCAAGTGGCTCGGCGCCAGTGCATGCAAATTTAACATTTTTTTTTTGTATTTTGGTGTTCATATCTCTGGAACAATTAGAGTTAAAACACTTATTAATAGGGTACTTAAACTTGAAATTGATTTTTAAATTTAAGTAATCCTCTTCACAACTTTTGTAACTCTAATTGCTTAAGAGATATGAACATCAACTTTTTCAAAAACAAAAAAAAAACAAAAAACATTTAAGTTTGCATGCACTGCTCGGCGCACGGCGGTGCGAGGCACAGTGTGGTGCGGAGCAGCACAGGCTGATCAAGTCGAGCGAGTCGAAGACGAGGGGGAAGGCGATAAACATGAAGTGGAGCAGAAGTAAGGTGAAGCGAGGCCCAGAAGCTGTTTTCGGGAGGAGATGTTGTTCTCCTCGTGTCTCCTCCCCTATCTCCTCCCCCTTTCTTTCCTTCCCTTTTCTCTGTTCCCCGCCAATATCCTGTGGCGTGGCGCGGAGGAATGCACCCCCGTGGGTGGATGGGTATACCGCCGGCGACAGCTGCGTCAGGGCGGGAAGGCTTCCACTCACCTGGAGTCCTGCACTGCACCGATGGGGTCGCCGAACAACTGTAAAACTGCCTATCGGGGGTCGCTTTTGGGGTCACCCAGTAAGTACGTCCGTCATTCGCCGTTGCGAAACTGCAAAGTTCAGCCGCCTCTGCAAAACTCTCCCATAGCGCCTGTTAGGTAGGCAATATCTCGTCTGCAGTGCATGCGTGTACCGCGGGGTGGCCTACCCCGAGTCTCGCAGGCGCCCAGCTCCCGTAATTCGCCAAATGAATGAATCTCAGAAACAACGGACGAACTTTATGGACGATCCCTTCTGTCACTGTTTTCATCGCGGTCACGATTTGTCATAGTGTCCGTCGATAGTGTTTCATCGTGTCACGTTGTCGTCGGTATGCCCGTCGTCACAGAAAGTGGCGTCACCGAGTTTGTTTAGGGTTTGTCCCGAAAGTCCCTGGGGATTGGTCCGGTCACGGCGTGGCGGGTACGTGGTCACGGGGCGGTCTCTCTCTCTATCTCACCTGCTTGGGCTGCATGACCCGGATGGAATGCAGCGTCGCGGCACCGCCGTGCATCACCCTCAGGTTCAACCTGCCCGTCATCTCGGCCGTGGTCGCGGTGGCGCTGCGGAGCTCCTTCTTGGCGCCGCGCCCGAACTGCAACAGGAGTGGTTATCGTCTCCCGAACTCCGGCACGGCTCCGCCAAGTTGGTATGTAGAGGGGGAGCAGTATTCACAACGCTGAAGTAGTAGATGGAACAAAGATCAGGGCGAGAGATACCGTACCTCCTTCTCCACCTTCAGGACCAGCGGCCCGAGCAGGAAATTGGTGCGCACCGTGGTGTGTGTGTTCATCATGTTGACTGTGACGTCTCCGGACCGTTTGATGGAGGACAAACCGTACAGCGTGGCCTTGGCGCGAGGGTGCTGCGACTTGGTGCCTTGCTTTTTCTGAAAACAAAGTGTCCGTTTTCAGAAAACAGAATTTTCTCTCGCACTTTACCTAACTCGAATCCACGAAAAGTTACAGCGCGTGCCTCTCTCACACCCGAGCACCCGAACGAGCAGGACCGGACCGGCCGCAGCGGTGTCGGGTGCGTGCGGTTTCCAGTGTACAAATACTGGTGCCAAACCGCGTGACCACACCGTGGCGTAGAGCACAGTGAGGCGCACAGTGGGTCAGAGAGACGGCAAAAGAGAGATATAAAAAAATGCGGTCATGCAGGGGGGGCAATTGTCCGCCGTTGTCCGCCTGCTTTGTGGTCTCCGCCGTGATGGAGTGGGTGGACAAGGAGCTCGTTACCGTCCGGCAACAAAAGCGGTGCGTCTGTAAGCTGCTCTCCCTCCCCCTCCTCTCCCTTTCCCCTGCCCTTTCTCACCTTGTTCTTGTTCTTGGTGCTCTTGGCCCTGGCCGTGCCGTGCGCTCTGCCCGTCGCCCTGGAGGTGCCGTTGCTGCTGGCGGCCAGAGGCGCTGGTGTCGTCGGAGTGGTGATGGCCGCCGTGGTCGTCCTGTCGGCGATGATGGTGGTGGCGCTGTCCCTGCGGCCACAAGTGTGAGGGTCAGGGAGGGGCGTGGGCGAGCGCCGCCGGGGTGCCCCGCACTGCGGTGTACTTACGCGTCGTCGGTCTTGGCCATCATCTCGCCCTCCCTCTGCTGCTGCTTGCCGGCGTTCTTCTTCTTTTTCTTCTTCTTGTCCTTGTCGGCCGACTTGACGGCGGCCTTCTCGCCGGGCGTGAGCTTGACGTTGACGGGGTCGTAGGACCTGCGTAGGATCTTGTTGACGCGCTCGAGGATCGTGTCGACGAAGCGGTTGTACTTGGTGATGTAGGCGGCCGAGGGGCTGGCCTGCTGCAGGGCGCCTGCAACGCAACCCGGGCCAACGGGCGGGCGGTGAGCGCGCGTGTGCGGGGCGCGGGGAGACGGGGGCGCCCCCCGGAGCGACGCCCCCGGACGGTGGACGGTGCGAGAGGAGGACGGTGCGCAGTGAGGCGAGGCGAGACTGGTTAGGAAGGGCTACAGGAGGACCCCGTCATTGACCCGGAGCCGAGCCGGCGGCCACCGACACCACCTGCGCGCCGACCAGCTGCAGCAAGGAGCTTTCCCCGTTGTACGCAAAGCGGAGTCGCATCCTGCAGCGCGGCCGGCGCTCCTGTAGAACGGGGCCACCGGCGGGTGGGCCTGAGCTGAGGGCCCCGAGGAGGGCTATCACGGTAAGCGACAGACAGACGAGCAGGCAGCAGGCGACAGACGGACAGACAAGTGATGAAGGCGGGGGCCGGCCGTCAGCGTCAGCTTCGCGCGTCAGCTCCAACAGAGGAGTTTGTTTGACGGCAGGGAAGAAAGGAGGAGGGAATTGGCGAATCATAATCATCATCATCGTGTGATGACGCCGAGAAAGCCGTCCTTGTCGCGGACGCTGACGACCGACCGCCCTACGCTACACATCATGCACCCGGTAAAGAGCGGCTCCTCCCTGGCGGAGCGCAACCGCGAAGAGCCGAGCCTGGCAGCCTGGCTCAGCCTGGACCTCGCGGCTCGGCTCGTCTCGGCTCGCGCTCACACGCTCTGGTTGGCCGCGCGCGCGGAGTCGGTCCCGTCAGTGATGCTGGTTGATGGTCCGTCACGTCGGTAGAGTTACTTCAGCAGTCGGTTGAGTCTCCCGTCGCGTCGCACCCCGTCCCCACCTTCCGCCCTGCCCTGCCCTCTCCACCACCGTTCATACATAGGGCCAGTCTGTTATGCCCCACCCGTCACCACCACTGTTCGTGCCCTCAATCACCACGACAAGTTTCTTTACGTTGTAATTTTTTTTTTGAGCCGCGCAGATTGTAGTGTAATTTTTTTTGATTTGCCGGTTACCCCTTTATCCCCTCCCCCCTCTCTCTCACTCTGAGCTACCATGCGAATCCTTTCGCCTTTCCCTTCGCCCCTCTCTCCGACTCGTCGCCACCTCAACGGTACCTTGACCCTGACCAAGTGTGTGCCTGGGCGCCCGCTCGCGTGCGTGCGCGTGCGCGCTCCCGTCAGACGTGAGCATCCGTTGGCTTGGGCTTGGCTCGGCTCGACGGCTGGGCGTCGGCCGGGATGTGACGTTTAGCTTTCTATCACACAATAAGAGTGTGAAAAAAAAACCCGCAGTTGTGACTCCGCTTGGGTCACCATACCTGGAATAGTACTTTCTCTTTTTAAAACGTCCCCCTTCCCTCCTCCGTTTCCTCTGACATACCCAAGAAATTTGAGCGTAATACTTGATGTGGGTGTGGCCGTACCTTCGGTTGTGTTCAAGAATCAAAACGTAACGTTACCGAGTATTACGAAACTAATGTGTTATGTGAAATTATCACATTGATCGACAATATGTCCCCATTCATCACCTATCCCATTTATTAAACTGTTATTCTTGTGTGCTCTAATTTCACGGATATGACGGGCTCTAGGGTCACTCTAGGGCACTACTAGTGGCATGAGGGTGGAGACAGAGCTACGGTTATTAGCGGACTGCACACCATATTCGCGCAAACCCATTCCCTCCTCTTTTAGCAAGAAATCAGCAACACATTTTAGTAATCTGAAAGGATGATCATTGCGCAAGCAGTTATACATGTTGAACCACCGTGAAACGATGACTGGTGGTCTTATCATCTACGATCGGGCTAAGATTTCCTGAGCGCCACATTCGGCACAAAGTCAATTTCCGATCGTCAATTTTTCACTTATACTTTACTTTGAAAAAATTACTCCGTGGATTACAGAGAATGTGAGTATAATCATGAAAAATAGGGCTTACCACCAGGCAACGTTTCATTTTCTTGGTCTCATTTACTTAGACATTCACAGATAATTGGACCAGTGGATGTATTTACACTTTTAATGTTAGTAAGTTTCCTTAACGGACCTCTGTCATTTTTGTACAAATTACATAGCGTGAGTCTGGCATTGATCCTTCATAAAAATAGGAAAATTATTTCGTCTCTGCAATGAAAAAGTTCTGATGTATCAGCTGTTTACCTGCTGGCGCAGCTTGCGCACCGCGACGCGACGCACTTACGGAGGTGGCGGGCGGGGGAAGCAGAGAGTGGGGATGGGTCCAGTGCAGGTGGTCAGTCAGGTAGGTCAGAAAGGTCAGTCCATGGAAGTCGATTAATGAAGCGGTAAGATGCACGCCAATGATTAGTTTCAGAAGCGCATGCAGCAATGAATGGGTTAATAAATGTTATTTACCATGTTACGGTGGGGAAAAGTTAGATGGAAAATTTTCTCTCTTTCAGATATTTTTTTCAATGAAATGCCGTGGGCGGGACGAATGTCACGAGGCTGTGAAATACACAATCACAAATGCACATTCGTGTGCCATGCTGAGTTTGGATGAATGAGGACAAGAGTGGTCGGCTTCATTTCTCTTTAATGGTACACATACACACAGAATGTACTGATTGGTATCCCTGAGCTAGGGCGGCCAGCGGCCGAGGCTAGACCGCCTGCGTGACATCACACTGACAGACCTCAAAGTAAAGTCATTCCAAAAAAAATATTTAAAAATGAGCAAGCATAGAAATTGAGCAAGACTTGTCATCGGTATCTCTTTCATACACACTGGCACACAGCAGTCATCCTCCTCTCACAAATACATCGAATAAATTAACACAAATAAATATCTATGGCATGGCAAACGCACGTTTGTGTTTCAAACGCGGTTTGGACAATGTGTTTCGAGCACATCAGCTGCACTAACTAGATGACTAATCCCTACGGGACAAGCTAGTGTCGAGCGAAATAACGCCTTTGGCATTCACATTCATTCCTCTAGAATTGTTTCTGTCTTTTTTGAGCAATTTGAGGACAGCAAAAGGAATTTTTTAAAGTCGATAATTTAATTAATAAATTAAATAAATAAATAAATAATTTAAATAAATAGCACGGAATTGTTCTTTCTACAACATATCAACAACAACAAAAATTGACTGACTTGGTAAAAAATAGAATTGCGGCATTTGTTATCATCATAGGACAGAGTTGGCGCTGGATTGTGAGGTTTCTTTCAGGACTTTGGACTCACGTGATCTTTTCGCTTCAATCGCCTCATCGTCCACCACATCGTCCAAGTCCGTCTCCACGTCGTCGTCATCATCGTCATCATCGTCATCATCGTCGTCCTCCTCCTCGTCATCCACAAGGTCGTCTACGCCGACGTCTTCATCGTCGTCATCGTCGTCATCGTCGTCGTCACTGGAGCTGGCGTCCTGAGCGTCCTGGGTGGCCTGGGGGGCGGCCTGCACATCCTGCGTCGTCTCGGAGGCAGCCTGCACCTGGCCGTCGGCAGAGACCTCGCTGGCCGACTGGCCCTGGCCCTCGCCGTCCTCGGTCTGCTCGCCGTCCGTCTGCTCGCCGTTGGCCGAAAATTCACCTGCGCCGTCCTCGGACGTCTCGGAGGTCGCGGGGCTCTGCTGAGCCGGGGCAGCAGCCGGCTTGGCGGGTTTGTCGTCGTCGTCGTCATCATCGTCGTCTGCGAAAAAGCAAATCAAGGCGTTGAGTGAAAGGTCAGATAACGGTTACATCAGCACCCATCTTCAGGGCATGGCACGGATATCGTAAATTGTCGAAGGAGAGACGTTACTCACCTCCCAGGAAGTCGTCAAAGAACCTCTCGAAGTAGTCCCCCTCATCGTCGTCATCGTCGTCGTCGTCGCTAGACGCGCTCTGAGACGCCTGGCTGCCGCCGGCGGGCGCGTTCTGGCCCGTGGGGGTCGCGTCGTCGTCGTCATCATCATCATCGTCGTCATCATCGTCGTCGTCATCGTCGTCATCGTCCTCAATGTCGAGGCCCAGGTCATCGTCGTCATCGTCGTCGTCATCATCGTCGTCGGACGAGGAGGACACCTGGTTGTCGGACGTTGACTGGCGGCCAGTGGCGACGGCGGGAACGACGGCGGCCTTGTCCGCGGTCATCTTGTCAGCCTGGTCGACGACGGCGTTCTTGTCGCGGCCGGAGATGGGCGACGCCGCGGCCAGCCCGATCAGGCAGCCCAACGCGACGAGCACGAGCCACCTCATGGTATCCTGCAACAGCGGGCGCCGATGCCTCGTTATATACACGTAGGGAGAAAGCACGGCGACGTGTGTGAATGTTCCCTGCGCCCCGGGGAGGGAGGGAGGTTGGAGGCCGCGCCCTGGTGCGTCGCCCGCTCGGCACACCGCCACGGCGGTGGCGGTACTTCGCTTTTAACCGTTGGTTCAATGCCCTACGCCAACAATGCATTCATCAGCGCGCACTTTGATATCTGCTCTGCGACTCTGTATGGGGCAGAGGGAGAGAAAGAGAGGGGGGGGGGGGCAGACGGGGAGAGATAGACAGAGAGCGATGGGGAGAAATAGTCGAGCCCTTTCACCCTTCGCCTCCAGCCGACTCCCATCACGGCGTTTCTACCAGTACCTCTTATAGAGAGTCCCCGCCCGGCCCCGCCCGGCTCGCGGCCCGCGGGCGCAGAGCATGCACACACATGGAGGAGCCTCTCACATAACGGCACTGCCCGGCAGGCGGGCCCTGGCCACAGAGAGATGCCCTCCTAGTTCCCCCGTCCGCCCCCCAGGTCCCGGGTCCCCAGGTGCGTCTCACGTCCACACGCATCTCAACGTGGAACCTGTTGGTGTGTGTGAGTGTGTGTGAGCGCGCGCGCGCGCCGCGCCTACTGATCCTCGGTCCCGGCCCGGTCCGCTCCACTTTCACTTGGAGGAATCCGGCGGGCACAGAGGAAGGACTCGCACAGCCCGCCCCGCCCCGCCCCGCCCTGCTCCGCCCCGCCCCG